TCTGCGCACAGGCTATAGCACGTGCTAGCGCACGGGCTAAGTAGAAACGGGGTCGCGCCTGTCCTGCGCACTTGGTGCGCTAGAGGTGCGCCTACGATAAAGAGTGCCTCCTGCACTCCCTTAGAGTGCAGAAGGCAAGAATTAGCTATTAAATATACGGCTGCTTCCTCCTGTTAAGAAGATACCTCCTTGCCTGCCTAACTTACCTAGCCTACCTAAGTACACCTTTAATAAATACACTTACTTTTTTATACTTTAAAGCAATAAAGAAGCTATGTTATTAAACGTTTAAATGCGTCTTAAAAACTTACTTAACTTTACTTTAATAGTAAGGTAAGGAACGTTTAAAATTAAATAAAAGAACGTTCTAGCAGCAAACTACCTTTACTATCTAGTAAGTAATAGTTTTATAATTAGTAGGCAATAAACAGCCGCTATTACCTTTATCTTACTTTACTAGTAGTTAAAAGTTATAAGCTTTACGCTACTATTTTTAGTTAGCGTACACTGCACCCTTATACACCTAGTGTCTAAGGCTAGCCCCTTTGCAACACCTATTAGCAGCAACCTAAGCGTTCCTTAACTAAGATCTAAGCTGCACGCCTCCTAGAGAGCTCTAACAAACAGAACAACCTGTGCATTAGGCAGGATTTAGCGTTTACTGCCGCCATAGACTAAGCAGTACGTGTGCGCTTCCACGTTACCCGAATGCAGTCGCACAAGCAAGCGGTCCGCGACCGCTCGGCGACAGCCAATAACCCGGAGCGCTTAACTTTTTTTCCTAACTCTACAAGGTGAGGTTTTTTAACAAGCAAGTGGCTACCGCGTGTGCACCTCTAGGCTGACGGGGGCGTCACCTAGGGAGGGGGAGGATAGTGTAAGGGTATTCTATACACGCGTCCCTACGCACCGGTTTGGCAACCAGTCGCTTACTAAGCGACGGACTTAATAAACTATCTTAACACATTGCACAGGACTAGCATAGCCACTTAGCTGTGCCACGCCCTACTAGGGTTGCGCTACACCGCATCTTCTAGCCACGTATATATTAGCTGGCAGGCCTTCGCCTACCAGTCTCCTATAGTTCGTTAAGTTGAAGTCTTAATACAACAGTACAAACCGGTTAAGCCTTCGTGACCACGCATTGCACACCAACCCCTTACAAATTTACAATTATTTTTACCCGCCAACAAACACCGCCTAAGGGACACGTTACCGTTAACGGCTAGGTCGATGCCTTTTAGGCAGATAACCCTGTTAATCGCCGCTTTACTTACAGCTTTGTATTTAAAATAGCTAGCGGCCTAGTCTTATAATGCGCCAAGAAGCTACCTACCGTCAGCACTTTAACGTATAAAGCTGAATACAGCGCGGCGTACTTCGCCACGACGCAGGCTAAGTAGATTAAACAGTTCTTTCTAGAGTTAAGCTTTATAGCGGACATTACGCTATTCGTAGACAACAACTCCGCGATCAGCCTCACCAAGAAGCTAGAGTTTCGGGAGCGATCAAAGCACTTGTTAAATGGCATTACTTTCGGGAGTGCGCTTTAGGCGGCTTACTAACGGTGAAATACGTGCCGTTAGAGTATTAAATTGCTAACATCTTAACCAAAGCTACGCCAAAAGCGACGTTCGAGCGTCTGCTGCCCCGTCTGATAGGCTGGGAGCCCTAAGTAAAGGAGCTTTTTAGAGGCTATTCAGAGCCTCGTGCTCACAGATTTCTGCACAAGCAGAGGAAGCCTTTGGCTTCATTTGGTGATCTTGGGCTGGGAGGATAAACGGTCTATAACACGTGCGCCATTCAGGGGGAGTGTGAAGCTCTAGAATGGAGCGCACTGTGATCGTTCTGACTAATGCTAGCAACGCGGCCTCTCATCGGTCAGACAGATAAAAGTGGGGACTAGCCCCAGTGAAATCTCTGCACCAGTGAAGGCGCGCCATGTACCCTCTCCTAGCTAGTTACAACACACAGATCATCAGCCACATCGTGAAGACCCCATACAGTGCACCGCTACCCCTGCCATAAGCATCAGTTGTGACACAAGATTAACGGAGGATCGCTTTGTCACTCGCTGGACCAAAGAGAATAGTCCCAACGCCCACGTCATGTCCTAGTTTTAGGCAGCAGCGGCCGCTGACATAAAACCTGGCTAACCCGCCCCAGATAGCACTTCTACGTGGAGAAGAAGCGTTCATACACCGACCTTTCCCCAAACTATTTATAACCACCTTAAATCGCTATGTCCTATCGAGGAAACACACGCGGCGGTGGAAACCGTGGAGCATTTCGCGGCGGAGGGAGTGACCGGGGTGGTGGACGAGGAGGACGAGGTGGCTATTCAGGCGGTTCAGGCGGCGGATTCAGCGGTCCAACAGTCGTCAGTGGAGCTGTTCCGCCCGATGCTAATGTGACAAAGCTGGAGGATGCCTTGCAGGTGAAGCCTGGACCTGTGAAGGTGCACGAAACCTTCCCCAGCCGGCCTGGATACGGCACCAAAGGCGCGAACGTGACCCTCTGGGCCAATTACGTCGTCCTTACGGCCCCGAACAAGCTCGTGATGTATCGATATGACCTCTCGGTGACGCCGGCCTTGACGGGCAAGAAGCTGGTTCAGCTCATTCGGCTAGTGCTGGAAGCGCCCGAACTGGCGCCCTACAAAGACGACATTGTGACCGACTTCAAGTCGACGCTAATCTCGCGCAAAAAGCTGGACAACCAGACCATAACGATCTCGTACCGCGCCGAAATGGAAGACGAGCCTCGAACCGGGGCCAAGCAGCACCAGGCTCAGCTTCTCTTCACAAACGTCCTGCCGGTATCCGATCTCATGTCGTACCTGACATCCACAAACATTTCCGCCCAGTATGACGAGAAGCTGCCGATGGTGCAGGCCCTAAACATCTTCCTCAATCACTACGCAAAGTCGGCCAATAACGTTGCCAGCATTGGCGCGTCCAAGACGTTCTTGCTCGGCCAACAGTCCGCCAAGCTAGACCTCGGCAGCTGTCTCACGGCCATGCGTGGCTTCTTTTCCAGCGTCCGTATGGCAACAGCCCGAGTCCTGGTGAACGTCAATGTGAGCCACGGCGCCTTCTATCAGGAAGGCCCACTTGACCAGTTCATTCTAAATTTCGGCTCCCAGAAGGGCATGTACAAGCTCCAGACGTTTCTCAAAGGGCTTCGCATCCGCACCACGCACCTGAAGGAGAAGAAGAATAAGAAGGGCGAGGTCATCATCAGAGCCAAGTCGATTCATGCCCTCAGCAATGTAAGCGACGGGCAAGGTCTAGCCCACCCTCCGCAGGTTCGGAAGTTTGGTGCGGGGCCGAGGGATGTGCAATTCTGGCTTGAGGCCACACCCCAGACAAGCGCCCCGGCTGTCCCTGGAGCCGCAGCATCAGGTGCAGCTGGATCGAAGAAGGGCGGAAAGGGCGCCAAGGGTGGTAAAGGCGCCAAGGGAGGCGAGCCCACGAAGCCTGTAGCGGCTGGTGGACGATACATCTCGGTCTACGACTTCTTTTTTAACAGTGAGTAGCCCTCTTTGCGGTCTCTTTGTTATAGGTCAAATACGGTGGGGACCTCGTGCTAACGTCGGTGTCAGCGTACGGCATCCGTCTTTCTAGGCCGGAACTGCCCGTTGTCAATGCAGGTAACCACGAGCACCCGACATATCTGCCAGCTGAAGTCTGTTATGTTATTCCTGGACAGCCAGCCAAAAGCAAACTCGACCCGGGCCAGACCCAACAGATGATTCGTTTTGCAGTTCGCAGACCGGCCGAGAACTTGACCACCATTGCAACCCAGGGTCTGCAGACCGTTGGCCTGGCGCCAAACACAAACCCCCAACTGGTGAGTTTCATTTGTGTCTTGTGGGATCTGTGATGACAGCTTGTGTGGTCGACTAAACGTACGTGTGTGTAGGGACACTTTGGAATTACTGCCGCATCGCGCCTTATCACCGTTCCCGGTCGTATCTTGACCCCCCCAAAGATAATCTACCGACAGAACAAGTCGGCAAGTGTCATGTCAGGCGGCTGGAACATGGTTCCCCGTGGCTCGGCAAGCCTCAAGTTCAGCACTGGCGGATCGGTTCAAAAGTGGTCGTGCTTGTACATTGATATGCCCGACGTCTACCCGAGAGCATATAAATTTTCATCGGCGGACCTGATGGCCACCCTTGCTGGGTTCGCAGGCGTCCTCAGAGACGCGGGAATTGCAGCCGGACCGCCCGCCACACCGCAGCGACTGGTCTTGCAGGACACGGACGACCCACAGCTGGAGGATATGTTCAAACGGGCATCTTCGGCCCTACAACTGCTCTTCATCATTCTGCCGGAAACGCCCATTCCGCTGTACAACCGGATCAAGCAGCTGGGTGATGTGAAGTATGGTATTCACACAGTTTGCAGTGTGGGGTCGAAGCTGGCCAAGCCCCAGGGCCAGGACCAGTACTTCCGCAACGTGGCACTCAAGTTCAACCTGAAGCTGGGCGGCAGTAATCAGCAGATTGAACCGGTACGCCTGGGCCTCCTAGCAGAGGGGAAAACGATGGTTGTCGGCATCGACGTCACCCACCCGTCGCCGGGCTCCTCCCCGAATGCGCCGAGCATTGCTGGCATGGTGGCAAGCATCGACAGTTCTCTGGGACAGTGGCCCGCAGTTCTCAGCATTCAGTCGCGTGCTCGCCAGGAGATGGTGTCGTCCCTCAGCGATATGCTCAAGTCGCGGCTGCATCTGTGGCGCACGAAGGGGAAGCACACTTCGCTGCCCGAGAACATCCTGGTGTATCGGGACGGCATCTCGGAAGGCCAGTATCCCGTCTTTGTGGCAGAGGAGCTGCCGCTTCTGCGTGCTGCGTGCAAGGCGGTCTATCCTCCGGCCGATCAAGCCAAGGGACTGCCTCGACTAACGGTCGTCATCGTGGGCAAGCGCCACCACACGCGCTTCTACCCGACGCAGGAGGCCGACGCCGACCGATCGGGCAACAGCAAGGCCGGCACGGTGGTCGACCGCGGCGTGACCGAGGCGCGCAACTGGGACTTCTTCCTACAGGCACACGCAGCCCTGCAAGGCACAGTACGGCCAGCACACTACTACGTCTTGCTGGACGAGATCTTCCGGTCGCGCTACAAATCCAACACGGCGGACCAGCTGCAGGATCTGACGCAAAGCATGTGCTACGTCTTTGGACGTGCAACCAAGGCGGTCAACATCTGCACGCCCGCCTACTACGCCGACATTCTCTGCGAGCGTGCACGGTGCTACCTGAGCAGTGTGTTTGAGACACCCAGCAATTCGGCGACGCCGTCGCTGGCCAGCGGGGGAGGTCATTCGGCCCTGGCTTCGCAGCAGGACGTGGCCATTCACCAGCATATTCGCGATAGCATGTTTTACATTTAGGTGCTGCTCTTTATTGAAGAAGGCTTTGCGTCGATTGAGTGGCACTTTCTCTAAAAAGGTCAAATCTAGGTCGTCCTATTTACAGGCGATTCTGTCGCGACCGATCTCTGTTGTATCTGAAATTTGCAAAATACAGAAAGTTTTGTTTCCTGTGTGCCTGTGTCCCGTGTTAAATCCATGCACAATCCTTGTAAGTGTCACAACTGATGCTTATGGCAGGGGTAGCGGTGCACTGTATGGGGTCTTCACGATGTGGCTGATGATCTGTGTGTTGTAACTAGCTAGGAGAGGGTACATGGCGCGCCTTCACTGGTGCAGAGATTTCACTGGGGCTAGTCCCCACTTTTATCTGTCTGACCGATGAGAGGCCGCGTTGCTAGCATTAGTCAGAACGATCACAGTGCGCTCCATTCTAGAGCTTCACAGTAAGACGGAATGTGCAAGATCTCGAGCAGATATGAGGTTTGTGCATTCTTTCCGACCCCGCTATCGAGACCTAACTCAACGAGCAGAGCCGAAGGGCGTTTAGTCTCGCACAGAGCAGCATCTTCCCGGCCCCAGAAAGACGACCAATATGATTATTTGTTCGACAAAGTTCTGATTACCTGGCCTCTTGGCAATGGCTATCTTAAATCGACAACATATTTCAGTGTTCGTTAGCACCACCACCCTTTACTTAACGATAATAAGACTAACATCCCACGGGTCACTGAAGGACAAATCTTATCTGTTACTGAACCGCGTGGGTGCGTCCGACCTCGGTTAGCTGCCTGTATAAATGAACTAAACTGCTGTCTAGTATTTGACAAGGACGTTTGCCACGATATTAGATTCGCCGGCTCCAGAAGTGAAATTGTAACAGAGCAGAATCATGGAATTCGTTCGTTTCCCGGCCGTAGAGGCCGTTCTGAAGACTGTTGCCACTGCCGTCTCCGGACAACTTATTTCTACGGGGTTGTCTGTCAGCCTAAGGGGAGTGGACTACATCACGGCTTGCCCGTCTGCACTGTCGTCCGTGCCGGCCATCCATGGACTGCGGTTGGTGACCGTCGTAAGCCAGGAAATATCGATCCGGTCAGTGGGTCGTCTTTTTATAAACTGGATAGCTACCGCAGCCAAGGGTTGTGATGGTGAGAGCGGAGGTAGGGTGAGGCCTCAGCTCGAACCAACAACACACCTACTAACACACGTACCTGTATACGTAGAGAGGTGTCGTGAGGCACCTCCCTTCGTCACAAGCCAAGGTAGTGTATGGTTGGTCCGAAAGGTAAGGAGGAAGGCCTTGCGGGCTCATCTTGGAATCCCGCGAGGGGAGACAAGGTGAGCCCGCCCGGCGAAGTCGTGGGCGGAAGTGTGGGTGTTGCTTTCTTCACAAGTGTACTGCGTGTATGTGTTGGCAATTGATTAATTTATGCGTCCATGCGTGTGTGCTTGTCCCTCTCTTAAGGAGAGGGAAGAAAGAGTGCGTTTTTATATACATGGGGTGTGTAAGTAGTGACGGAAGTCATGAATTTTTCCACATTTGATTGGTCAAGACAAATGGGTCTGGTCATGTGATGCGCTAGCATCCCGCGAAGGGTCTTGACATGTCATCCTGTGTGGCCGGAATAGGCGGTCTTGGGGGTGCGCTTCTCTCATCACTCAATAGTTTTCTGGTCAAGCTTGCACAGGACCTTACGGCTGCAGTAATTATCTCGGTACCGAAAGTAGGAGGTTCTGGAACGGATGTTTTGTTTTGAATTCCCCATTAATTATATTCAGTCCTTAGCATCAGATACTAAATAAGCCTAAACTCCTTGTGTTCTTTGGGACGCCATATTTCGTTGCTTAAATCAATGTTGTGTCAGTTGAACTCCGGTCAATTAAAAAGTACCCCCACTGTTTCCCGGTTCTCAAAACGCTTACGTCGTAGAGGATAGTCTTTCCGAGCAGTGACATTAGTCAGCATGCCACGACTTATCTGTCTCCTGTCATATTAACTAAATCTCACGGAACTGAACTTTCTGACAGACATATGCTGTCGTGCCTAAAATGAAATAGTATATTGGGAACATATCAAAGATGCTTTTGTAAGCCGCACATTCGTAAGTTTGAATCACTCTCTCGTTTCAATTCAATAAACAATGTTATCGGCCTTCTCTTTAAATCACTAATCAGCCAGCTAGAGCTTCTATGAAGAAAATATGAATTGCATAATCTAGCATTAAAACATGGCCTTCTCGTTAGCTTTCACATCGATGCTTGTATTTGTCTCCTCGGCCCCTTCGGAGAGAAGGCGTTTATTTTCTTCTCGGTGGCCGTAGTAGCTCAATATAGCGGTCCAGACTGCAAGAGCAATGCAGACGGCAATCATAGTCCACATGCCCTTCTATATACTTGTCAGTGATCTACATATGAAATAATTCTGAGAGAGTACGTACGTGGAACTTGGGGGCCTGGGACGCGCCATAAAATATGATGCTCCACCAGGCGTTCACTGCGTTGCTGCCAAGATTCATGCCAGCAAGAACGACGCCGCGGAAAAGTCCGTCTTCGAATCGCATGGCATCATTGCACCAAGCGAAGAAGGTGGCCTGGCAGGCATAAACAGAGCCGGCCCAGTAGTAGGCCGCAAAGATGATCCGGGTAGAGTTGGGACTTTTGATATGCTTGGAGGCAACAAGGATCATAATAGACGTGGCGATGTTGGTGATAGCGATCCAGTAGGCGACAAGGTAGCGCCTACCGCCGTAGAAGTCGGTCAAGGTTGCCCAGAAGAGCGTTGATGCGATGCCCACTGCCGGTACACCAGATGGGTAGTTGTTAAGTTGCGAGACGGTGTATTTGTTAGTCGGGTGCTTCTTCATGTAGAGAGTGATGAGGGAGTTGGATCCAAAGGACTCAGTCTCGCCGGCAATGATCCAGAGAATGACAAATCCCCACCAATACCAGGAAGCTAGCACCTTGCGAGCGAAGCCCCACGTCAAGGGTGTTTTCTCCTTCGATACGGCGGGAACCCGAGACTTGGCCAGCTCCCGCTCTTCCTCGGTCAGATAGAACGCGGTGGTGGTGTGGGGTGTGTCGGGAAACAAGAAGAACCCGTATAGGGCCACTGGGATGGGGAGCAGGCCATCAATGATAAAGAGCCAGCGCCAGCCAGCGAGGCCGTTGCGGCCATTGAGAGACTTGTGAATGCCGGTCTGGATGAAGCCGCTGATGAGAGTACCTGCCAGTCCGGAAGACGTGAAGATGCCGCTGCGCTTGCCTAGCTCCTTCTCGGTGTACCAGGCACCCATAATGTAGTGGGCACCAATGAAGGAGGATGCTTCGCACATGCCCTGGAAGAAGCGAATAGCCATGATGGATTGCGGTCGATGCGCGGCAGCGGTGACCATGGTCAGGCCGCCCCAGAGAACCATCATGAGCGGGAACCAATACCGAGGGCGGAAGTAGTGAAGAGCGATGTTGGACGGAATCTGACCAATAACATAACTGGAAAGGTGGTTAGCGAAGCGGTAGGCGAAGGGCTGACAAGGTTGAGACAGGCACCATACCCAACCGTGAAACAGGTGTTGATGTCATTAAACTGGTCGCCCTTGAAGCCGAGGTCCTCCTTCATGCCGGAAACATAGGCATTGGTGAGGTTTGCACGGTCGAGCTGAGAAGGTCAGCGACAGGAGAACGACAGAGAGGCAACAGAAATACAGGCCATGCACACTAACGTAGTTGACAAAATAGCTGACACAGCAGAATGTCAGGATGAAGAAATCAATCTTTTGGACGAGCATGCGCTCGCCAGGCTTGTAACCCGCATGGAAGTAGTTGTACAGCCTTGAACTCGCCATTGTGTGGGCTGGCACCATGCAACGTCTGGTTGCAGGATACAGAGGAATAAGCAGGAGCAAGCAAGAGTCTGGAGGGACAGCAACAAGAGAGAGCGAAGATTTTATACAAAGTGTGACGAGGGTACCAGGATAGCGACAGTCGATAATATGCGGACAGTCTGCAGCCTGTCTGGCAGTTCCGCCTGTTCGTTTTCGCTTGTGGCACCCTGTATTACGGGCTGTGGTGCTTTCAAGGTTGGGCCTAAAAAGGCGGAATAAACGAGGCGGGTGATTTCAAAAACCCCGAACGAGGAAAGCCGATGGGTTTTTCAGATAAGAAACAGCACTTTAGTGGATACGTTTACCCCGGACGATAAAGTGGGGCCGGCTTATCTGTGGAGCCCAAAGTCCTCGTTTTTATATTCTCGTAGATTGCCTTCTGCTTTGAGCAACGGACCTACCACCCATATGGCCAGAACGTCGAATGGGTTGATTTCCTGCTCGATCGGTCATGACTGCAGCCATGCCGCGTGGCAGGATTGGCAAGGTCACCGCTGCAAGAGCCGGGCGAGAGCGAGGAAAGCCACGTGGGTTTCGCCGAGACAGAGACTGCGTGACCTGCAAGCAACGCGGGCTCAAGTGCGATCTCAACCGGCCCCAGTGTCTGCCCTGTGTCCAGGCCGGCTTTGTCTGTGGGGGCTATCCACTGCGTATCGTGTGGGCTTTGTTAGCCAGAGACGACGTGCTTCCAACGTGGGCCGTCGTGCAACAGAGACGGCGACAGAGACGGCGATATCCAAGATAGCGGAAGATGCCGATCGGGTTTCGTCCATGTCTCCCCCTCTGCTTATCAACTCCGACGGGTCAGAGACCTGGTCAGAAACGGATGAGAATAGCCTCGTCAAGCGGCTGGCTGCCCTCTGCAGCCACATTCTGACGGCCGAAGACAGCAGCCCGGCGAACAGCCGACACGAGCAACACGACCGATGCGACCACTACGACCCATGCAGCGAATACAAGCACGCCCTATCGCCCGAGACGACCTGCCTGCTGTCAGATCTCTGCATGTTCATCCAGGCCCGCCTCGAGGGCCGCGACGCTCCGATAGCGACCGGGAGCAGCAGCAGCAGTGCCAATGGCACTTTTCAGTCGTCCGAGTCGCCCGAGTCGCTCGACATGGTGCGGCACCGGCTGGCGGTCCTGGCCAACCTGAACAAGGCGATCGAGGCGGCCAATCCGCTGGCTTTTCTGGGCATCGCCACGTTTGCCGTCCTCGAAGTCTGCGACACCACCTTTGGCGAGTGGAAGTGCCACCTGTACGGCGCCCGCTACGTGCTCGACTACCACCGTTGCCAGAGCATGGCCGACCTGCACCGGCTGGCGCGTTTCGTGCCCGGTTTGCTCGACATCCTCGCCCGCCTGGTCTGGTTCGACATCTGCGGCGCCATTGTGCGCGGCGCCGACGCCGATGCCGACGCTGGCCTCATCTTTGAGGACTGGCACCGCCAGGTTCTCGATCACGCCTTTTTTAGCACCATTGGATGTCCGGCCGACACCTGCGCCCTCTACGTCGACGTGGCCCGGTCGCAAATCGCATGCGAATCCGTACGCAGCTGTCTGCGCGTGACCGAGCAGGTTCTGAAGCTGCAGACACGATCGGAAAGATCGTCCGGCTGGGACGTCTGCGCCGACGTAAACCGCTGTGCGGCCGCCCTAGCCGTCCTGGTCCAGGTTCCCGACTCGGAAGTCCTGCTGGCGGAGAGCCGAGAGGCGACCGCGGCGGCCGTGGTGGAAAGGCTGTGCGAGACCCTGGCGGCGACGTCGTCGTCGTCGCCCTTTTACATCCACATGGCCCTGGGCGCCTATCTAGCCGGGATGCATGCGCGGACAGACGAGCAATGCCGGACGGTTCGTCAGTATTGGCTCAATTGTAACCTCTCTGGCATCTCGCGATATCCGGGAGGTCTGGCGCGTTGCGAGGCGCATTGGCGAAAAGCCGGGCTTCTGGCTAGTTCGGTTATAAGGGAGATGAAGTAGCTAGTCAAATGTCGCAGATAAGAAAAACACGGAAAGCTAGGCGTTGTTCCTAGATACATGCAGTTGGGTAGAAAAAGCCGATTGTACGAGCAAACGGTTGCGTTATCGGCCGAGAAGCTATCTCTGCGTCGAATCCCAATGGGGAAGGCAATCAAAATGTGGCACGGTAGTATTAGCGATGCGCATCAATACGACGTAGGTTCGTTAGCTCAGAGGGAGGTCAGCACTGCGAAACATAAAAACGAAACAAAAGAACGCATCCTGGAGATAGTTATCAGCTACGCTTCTTATCTCTCAACCGTCTTGTCCTGACTCTGCCTTGGCTTTACTCTCACCTCGATCTCGCTCTGTTCGTTTTGCACAATCCAGCCAGAATGACGTCTGCCACCTGGGAAGAAATTGGTGCCAAGAAGCGCAGCGACCTTCTGGCCACTTTTCCAGCTGACCTCGTTGTCCCCTCAGAACTCTTGCCACCCGAGTCTCAGGACGACCTCACAAGCTGGCCCGAGACCTCCGGTTGGTTTACCCAAGACGAGCTCCGCATCACAAGCTCTTCCGCAGCGGAGCTCCTCGAAAGGTTGGCCAAGGGCGATCTGTCGTCTGAGACGGTGACAAAGGCGTTTTGCAAGCGCGCAATTGCGGCGCACCAGCTGGTAAGCCCCAAGGCCTGTCCGTTTCGCGACCTTTCTTCTTTTAGCTGACCCTACCGACGCGTGAACAGACAAACTGCCTTTCGGAAACATGTTTCGACCGTGCGATCCAAACTGCGAAAGCACGCGACGAGCACTTCGCAAAGACCGGCAAGGTCATCGGCCCACTGCACGGCCTTCCGATCTCGCTCAAAGACAACATCAACCTGGTCGGTCTGGACTCGACTGTCGGGTTCGTCTCTCACGCGGGCGACCCGGCCACGTCCGACTCCACCCTAGTCACCGCCCTGGAGGCTGCGGGCGCTGTGCTCTATGTCAAGACCAACGTGCCGACGGCTATGATGATTGCCGAGACGGTCAACAACCTGTTTGGACGGACCCTGAACCCGCGGAGTCGTCGAGTGAGCCCCGGCGGTAGCTCAGGCGGTGAAGCAGCTCTGATTGTGATGGGAGGCAGCGTCATGGGTGTCGGCTCCGATATTGGTGAGTTGCCGAGACGGCAGGATGTAGGGATAGAACAGGGCACTTGCGTGTGCTAATTGCTCCCAGGTGGTTCTCTCCGCATCCCAGCGGCCTCCTGCGGCCTCTTCACGTTGCGGCCCTCGTCCGGCCGCTTCCCCGTGCGCAATTGTCGATCGGGCATGCCTGGCCAAGAGGCCGTGCAGTCGGTCAATGGCCCGCTCACACGCACGCTGCAGGACTTGGCTGTCTACACCAAGGCTGTCATCGACGGCCAGCCGTGGCTTCGCGATCCCAAGTGCATCCCCTTTCCCTGGCGCCCGGCATCGCTGCCGAACCGACTCAAGATTGCCGTCATGTGGAACGACGGCGTGGTCCGGCCGACTCCTCCTGTGGCCCGGGCCCTGCGAACGACGGTAGAGAAGCTCCAGGCGGCGGGTCACGAGATTGTCGACTGGGACCCGGTAGACCAGGCCGAGGGCACCGCTCTCCTGGCCCGCATGTTTCTTGCCGACGGTGGGCTCACCATCCGGACAGAGGTTGAGCGAGGCGGCGAGCCGTGGCGGCCAGAAATGGAGGACTACAGCACAGCGAAGGAGCTGGGCACAGAGGCCATGTGGAAGCTGCACCTCGAGCGGACAGCTTTTCAGAACAGATATCTGGACCGTTGGAATGCGGCTGCCATAGATGCCATTTTGTGCCCCACAATGCCCTATAACACTGTCAAGCATGGAGAGTTTAGACACGGTAAGCTCCATTCTTTAGCTGACTTCGGCGGCTCTACTGACACGCACAATAGTTGGTTACACCGGTGTGTTCAATGTCCTGGACTACTCGTGCATCTCCTTTCCGACCGGTATACTGGTCGATAAAGCTGTGGATGTTCTAGATACCAAATACGAGCACCTGGGACCTGTGTGCAAACAGGTCAACGAAGAGTGTACGCATTGTCTCCGATAGACCTTGTGCGATCACGTGATGCAGATTACTAACCGAATCACAGATAATGCCGACGTCATGCACGGTCTACCGATCAGCCTGCAGCTCGTTGCCCGCCGTCTGGAGGAAGAGAAGGTTATTTCTATGTGCGAGACCGTTCTACAGACTCTTTCAAGATAGGGCTGAGAGCTTTTTGTCCCTTGAAGAAATAAAGCAGGGCACTGTAGGAATGCAAATCCCTCATATTGGATGATCGTATGTCATATTTCCCTCAAGATCACTGGAAGTATCCTGAGTACGGTAGCTTGCGCGACATGCGTAAGAAAGTTGCGTTATGTTGCTCCAAAAAGCCTGACTTTGCGTAACTTGCCGGTATCAGGTATTTTTCCATCTTGTTATCAAGTCGCCTTTTTAAGGGAGATTCTTTAATTTGAAAGTAGTCATTAGCTTGCAAACCAAAACTTTTCACAAATAAATTTTAAAATCCATTTAGCCAATAAGAATACTCCGTAAGAGCCTAAGAAAAACAACATCTTGACTTCCGCCTCTCTCCACTCGCGAATCTAGCCCTCCTCAAGCGCCTTTGCCCCGCCTGCGCTTCACCTTGCCCAGAAATAACCACAACCTTTACCATCTGAGATAACGGCCAAAATGAGTGCGTGCAGCAACTGCCAGAAAATCGAGCCACAGGTCACCCTCAAGAGATGTGCCAAATGCTCCATAACTCCATACTGTTCTAGAGACTGCCAGAAATCTGACTGGAAGAAACACCGGAAAACATGTGGCAAGCCCGGCTCGGCGTCGGCCGGGGTTTTCACTTCGACTGCCAGCTCTGCCGGCTCCGACCTCTCTCCGCCGAAGGGACTGGAGCAGCCGATTACGAAGCCCTTTAGCCGCCTCAGCAACAACAAGTGGCTACACGATCGCCCGGAGAAGGACGTGTACCGGCTTCTTATTGATGCGTATCGCCTGCGCGTCGAGGACGAATACACCATTGAAAAGAACAACGCCCCCGACAGCTTATACTCGGGCGCCCCGGATGGGCTGCGCGGCTTTCAAAGATTCTTGGATCGGGCTAGTTCCCGCCCTGGGCTCCTTCCATCGTGGTGGAGCGATGAAAAGAGAGCGGAATGCGAGCAGCTAGGAATGGACACGGCGAATTGGCAGGACCTGCGATGTGCCATTGAAAAGAGCGACGTCATCGAACACTACGGTGACCCCAGGTTCCCCATGCAGCTGAGGATGTTTGCTGAAGTGGTCATTGGTAGAGGCTTGGGTGGGGGAAATGGTAAATCAATGATGAACATGATGGCATCCATGGAGGGAGATGGCTCGGGGGATGGGGCCGTGAGTACGATTGATATGTCACGGGCCCAGTAAGATAGCCAGTTTTCAAGCGAGGGTCTGGTCTACGGAAAAAACAGTCTAGGTCTGATTGGGCGGGAAAGGAGGGTACGAAGCCGTTCGGATGAGATTGATTCTATCGCTTAGCACGCCTCGGACAGGATCGAGCTTTCAGATGGTTTCGTCGTTAAAACGTTTCTGTATTACCGCAGTTTGCGATAGGTAGAAGCTCGTACAAGAGCCGAAATATGCAATATGAGAAGGCAATGCCGTGGCGCTGTGTGCTGCTATGACTGTGGGGACTTGAATTAAGTGTAATGGCCTAACCAACGTGGCCGTGGGTGGGCCTTGGGGGTCTGGTGTGGTTCAACGAAGAGAATGGGGCGAACGGACAATGCTCTCGAGTTGGGGAGACGCTGCAAGGACAGCCTTGCCCAACGTCACGTTTTGTTGCTCAGATTGGCCGTTGTAAACCTAAGAGATCTATCCCCAAACTCAGAGAGATGTTTGATACACAATGACGCAAAAAAACCGCCGCCCAAACAAAAAAAACGTTGCTATCAAAAAACGTACAGCAGCGGGTATTCGCTGGTCGTCACCGACCCAACTGCTAATCCGCCGATCACTGCTTTAACTAGGGGAGAGCGGACGGGATCCCGTTCTTTCCAGTATCTATGGCCGTACATGATGGAATGCTTGTCTATTTGATATTATAGCTCTTTTTCCTAGAACAAAATTTCGGTCTCCGTTCTGCCCTGCCAAATTCGATTCTTGTTTCGCATGGGTTTTTATGTCCAGCCTAGTGATTTTAGGAAAGAGCCTTTCCATTGTCCGATTACAGTGCTCTTCCGACACAAAAAATGTGACTTTTCAGTAAGTAGCTTCCTACTTTTCGTTTTGTCGAGAGCTGCACCTCTCTTGCCTCGGGCTTAACAAGGCATTGCTCGCCAAAGATGAGTCTTTACAAGACTCCATACGGTAGATATTTCGTCTATGGGTTTCCGCCCTGTATTTCCCGCTATACTATGCTAAAACTTGCGAGAAGAAGGTTGGCCTGTCTTCATGCGCGCCTTCCATTAAGCCTCGCTAAAATGTAGACACTCTGTTTGAAAGTGACCCAAGACCCCTGTCCAGCTATTTAGACTTTGAAATCACCCAGCCGTAGTAGTCAAACGAGCCGCCTTTGCCACTCAGAACATGCAGCTCCAGGTCCCACAGGCCGTCTGGGTTGAGAAGAGGTTTGATAAAATGTGGCTGCCTAAAGGTAACGTAAAGGAAAACGCCGTTGTCTGCTAAAACCCGATGGACCTCCCGCAGATATCGACTAGTGTTGCTTTTTACTTCCGCTGGAGGGCTCCATGGGCTGCCATGAATCATGGCGTCAAAGGTGCCTTTGTCAAATGCAACACCGATAGACTTGTCAGCAATCGTAGCCATGTCCCTCACATCTAGTTTCTCCCACTTGATGCCTGTGTTATATTTATAACGCTCTGTCATGATCTCAATGGCTTGAGTAGAGAAGTCAACGCATAGCTGATGTTTATAGCCGCGAGCGCTGAATTCGATTGGAATCACCTATATCAGAGAGAATCATAATTAGTGGGATGTTTATGGACTTAAGCAACAACAAGAAACACCACGAACACTATCACCCGACCCTAGGTGAAGAATTAACGGGTTATCTTCTACGCGGCGCCCAGGTGCCTGGAAGAGCTTTTGCTGAAAAAACTCTTCCAGCTCATTGAAGGACCGGAACCATTCGTGTGTTGGCTTTTCGCCGTCCGTCTGAGAGTACCGCTCATCCCAGAACTCTGAGTGGCTGAGAACCTCATCATTTTCCGCCATATTGAAAAAAAATCAAAACATCCACTACACAAGCGAGGTTGGCAGTTGTCGTCGTGCAGTCGTTGCGATTTATTGTTCTCTCGAGATATGTAGTTAATGATGCCAAATATCCGCCGTGTATAAGAGACAGACGTAAAATTTTAACTGCTATAGCGCGCGTCCTAGGGAGCGGGGTAAGCAACCCCACTATTAGATCAGGAAGATCAGGAACAAGTTAATGAGAGCACGTGACCAGATGAAATACTACCGATGACTAATCATCACTGAAGCCAGGATTGGATAGGTCCCACTGAACGGGACTGCTCGTGTACAAATGCACCCGTGAGAGGAAAGAGACCGTGTTCTTGTAAAACGCATAGCCGGCGTTTCACAAAGTCGACCAGTTCTTCAAGGACAATACGACGGAGCTTTCGGAGCGCGCAGAGGACTCGGCAGTCTAACTCTCCGCCTCGCGAATCAATATCGTTCAAAAGGCACATCGCTAGCAGAAAGGCGTTGACGGGGCCTTATATAAACTTCCGGTATTGTCGGATCTGGTCAGTCTATACTATACTCTCTTCCAAAGAAAACAAAAGAAGAAAGAACCTGTAACGGCGAGGCTGAAAGCGAAGTACGTCTTTAGCGCCCTTGAGGCTCTGGCGGTCGCTCGCCAGCCTCTTCGGCTTCGGGGATTTTATACGTTGTCGTCCTGTCAACATTACTTAAGTCTGTTCGACTTTGTCGTGGCCGGTCTCCGAACGACGTTCGGCTTGGAAAATAAAGTGGCGTCTTTCCCAAGAACACAAACCAGACAGCAAAGCAAATCTTACCATAACCGAGGTTGCATGGAGATAGTCTCCCTGTGCCTAGCCTATGCTACACTGTACAAATTCGTTTCCAAGCTAGGTGGCCCATCAGCAGCTTCCATGATCATACTTACCGCATCATACTTTAGTCCATCGGAGGATGGGCCGCTTGCGGCTGCACCTCTTTTCAATGGCGTCTTTGTGGCCCAGGCTGTGCAAGCACAGACTACATCGACCCCGTTCATCCGCATGAACGACGCGTTTTCAATATTTAGCAGTTGTGGCGGCTATAAAGACATTACATCAGCACGTCCGCGCGAAATAAGCTAAAGTCGTAAAAGCAGTCTTTACACGCTGACGTGAGTCTTACAAATGCACACGCAGAGGCACAGCGCACGGCCGTAGCGAAGTAGCTAGAAATTAGGCACGACTAGAGACGAGCCGTGTATTTTTACCTTATCGAACTAATGCAGAAGCAACTCTCGGCCCGGTGGAGTATTGAAAACCTAGAGCCAGCTCTTTGCACTTGCCTACGTGGACGTACTAACCGAAACCAGATGGTGGTGCAGATATTTGTGAATGGGCTCTTCTCAGCCGCTTTTTAGTCTTTTATTTTTATTTTTCCCTAAGTCTTTAGAAATAACTAAAGCTAGTACATTTTTTTCATTGGCCCTTTATCATAGTTCTGTTACCGTGTATGCGGTGTGTTTTTTTATAGTCGGGCTTCCAATGCTGTTAACGTTTGCCCTTATTCCCGGTTTTGACGCCTGATTTTAAGCTTTCTCGGTGTAATAGGTAGCCCAATAATCCTGTCTACGTTAAGGATATTTTCTTGATGCCCAACTCTGCATAATGCCCCGTGTTACTGGTCAAGTTGACGTGGGGGAGCCCCAGTCTATAATCACTGCCCGATTTCGAGCGAGGTCTGTTATTATGGCTCCTCAATGCTGTTACTGGATTATCATGAGATGCAGACGCGAGTAACGATGATGAGTCTGTTGTCATCAGAGCACGAAACCTGGGGAACGTCCCGCAGGCGATTGCCGGACAACCTCACGGCGGCGAATTTGGGAGAATGGGCAAGTTGGGTTGTAAATTTAGGATTTAAAAGGGATTGTACGCATGACATTAGTCCCTCGTGATATGTGTTGAGTGCGGGAATGGAGCACACTGTGCGTTTTCCGGCTAGGGTTGGCCCTGCGCGTTCTGATTGGCCAGAATAGAGAAAAGTGGGGAATAGCCCCAGTGAAATCTCTGCGCCACAGAATCAGTGTAATGTAGCTTTTTCTTCCCTAGTACAACACGCAGATCACCACCTTCATGCAGGCAGACCCATACAGTGCCTTCCCCTTCCCCTGTCATTAGCTAAGTTGTGACAGGTTATGAGCCCGGGTCTTGTATCCGGGTCTGTCACGGCGATTTGCGTCATCTCACGATAATTTTCGCCCCAGGGCACCTCTTTTCAGCCTTCGGGCTTCATTTTTTTTCGCCTTAGGGCATCATTTCAGAGATCGTCAGCATCGCGCGGCGTCTCCCAACCGACATTTGGTTGATTCTGGGCTTCGTGGGGCCATAATACTTCACTTTAGGTGCTGGCATCCAGCATCTTCTTCTTTTTCCATGCTTCCATATTGGGAGAGACCTTCTTCAAGACCACCAAATCGGAGGCAGCTGATTGTCGAATCAGAAAGGCAATCCAGCATCTTTTCAGAGCTTCAAGCTCGTTCTCATCGAGGTTCAGCAGAGCAGGTCACTGAGGGCCTGGAGAAGCTGCATCTTCCTCATCAAGGTGACCCCAGAGACGATCATTTCGATTTTGATCAGGTTTCGGGAACGTCAAGAGCGACAACGGTGGTGCTACCTTCGGGAGAACGTCCATCACGTTCAAGAACGCCAGTCAGACGCCTGTTCAGGGCACAAAGTCTGCCTCCCAGTGAAAAACCTGATCGATCTTTCAATATTTTTTCTGATCACGAAAGTGAGCTTCAATCTGAGAAGCAATCTCCTCAGCAGCAACCTCAGCAATCTCGTTCAGAGTCACGACCACAAACTCCCCGCGTTAGTTCTGAACGCACTTCTGTCAACAGCATGGCAGGCATCAACGTGTCAGAGAGGGCTTTGAACCTCTTCTTCAAGCACTGTTCAAAGCAGGTGCCCAAGCTGACCAAGGCGGAGGAATGGGATGACTGGGACAAGGCTCTCAAGAGAGGGCTGGGCCTGATCAAATTAACCCGAATTGAAGACGTCGTCGATCTGACGGATGACGCGCAGGGCGAAATCAAATACGCCCTGGAAATGCAAGTCAGCACGTTGCTCCAAGGCCAGATCAAGGGGGACTCAGTCCTCGAGCGATACCAAGAGCTGGAGCGTCTCCTTCGACCGCACACGGAGGATTTGGCAGTCGAATTCAGTCACAAACTGCACACCCTGCGATGGCGCGATACCGAGAAGATCGAGGAGTGGTTTGAGCGTATGGAAGAGGTTTTCCGTGGATACGAGACCTACGCAGACGCCCTTTCAGGCAAACTCAAGGCTCTTTGTTTGGTGAGCGCCGTTTGCAAGCGTATCCCTGCGTTGAACGCAGAAATCATGGATCAGTGGAGATCAAAGATCGCCAAGCTTGGCAGCGACGAAGTCTACGAAGCCACCAAGCTTTTCGTTACCACAAGATGCAAGGACAGGGCTGTCAACCCCGTCAGCAAGCACAAAGATGGTGGCAAGGACAAGAACAAGGACAGGTCGGGGGGTCACAAGGGAGACGAGAAGACAAAAGACAGTGACAAAAACAAGGAGCAGGGCGCGCGCAAGGCAGCCTCTACTCTAAAATGCACTCACTGTGACCGTACGGGTCATACTGTCGATCGTTGCTGGAAAAAGCATCCAGAACTCCGACCCTCCTCTGACAGTCACCACGTCGAAGCCAAAGATCAGGGTAAAAAGACAAGCTCGTTGAGCATGTTCTACGTCGAAAACCCTCCTGATGCGGATCAAGGCATCACGATCAATGACGACGTTTCGCTTAGCGACTTCGACTTGACAGACGACGAGACCGACGAAGAGATTAAGCCTGCGAAGACTTCGCGCAGTGTAGGCATCACGGCCGACCCTGACACCTGGCCCATCGTGGGCAAAGTCGGGTTTCACAGCCTCTTCCACGGCCAGAAGGTGAACGACTGGCTCTTCGATACCGGTGGGGATATGCACGTGGCGAACGATGCAAGCTGGTTCGTACCTGGCACCCTGCAACCCAGTCAAGTACGATTCATCACGGGCGGCGGCCCAGTGGCCGCGTCGCACGTCGGCCAGGTGGCACTGAGTCTGGCCAAACCAGACGGTGGAGAGCACGAGGTGACGCTGGGGAAGGTTTATTTTGTTCCTTCCTTCCCTATCAACATCTTTTCTGGCCTCCAGTTTTACCTCAAAGGCAATTTCCTGGTGGGACCAAAGCTGTACTGTACCAAAAAGCAGCTGATGGCCAAGCTCGATGTTCGTGCACGAGGCTTTCGCCTCCCTGTTCACCGAACGAAGCCATTCGACGCAGCTCCCACGCAGGGGGAGAATTCATCAGTGAGCGTGGCAAGCGCGTTTTCGACTCCGACCGAGAGCAACCCAGACGCAGGCGACCCAAAAGCTTCGCGCAGTCTTTGAGCGAGCGCCAGAGACTGCGCCTGATACACCAGAGACTGGGTCATCCGTCCTGGAGGGCGCTCAAAGAGACAATGAAGCAGGCCGAGGGAGGCCTGGTGCTCCCAGAGCACATCACCGAAAACACTGACCCGACGTGCACCTCGTGCGAGCGGGCCAAAGCCAAGCACTTCAAGCCGAAGGACCTGCGAGGGATTCGCGCCTCCAAGCCAGGAGAGGCGTACCACATCGACCTTGGCACCTTCAAGCACACTGCTTTCGACGGCACGCGATACTTTTCAGCAATCAAGGATGAATTTACCGGAGTGCTGGAGGTACTGACGCACAAGAAGAAGTTAGACGCACCAGCCGCGATCAAGGCAGTGATCGAACGCAACGCGAATGAATTGGGGTATTCACCCTTACGAATTCATCTAGACAACGGCACAGACATCTCCATTACCTTCTTCGAACGGTACTGCGCCCCCAGAGGTATCAGGCTGATCCCAAGCCCAGTATACGACGCAGCCGAAAACGGAGGAGCAGAGAGAGCCGTCAAAGAGATCGTCATTCGCACTAGACTTCTGCATC